TTTTTAGAGAGGGAAGACAGAGAGAACATCAATGTGGGAGAGACACATCGATTGGTTGCCTCCTGCACAAGCCCTGACCAGGGCCTGGGCTGGGAAGGAGCCTGCAACCAAGGTACATGTCCTTGCCTGGAATCAAACCTGGCACCCTTTGGTCCACAGGCCGGCGCTCTATCCACTGAGCCAAACCGGCGAGGGCCAATAATTTTTTAAAAATAAAAGAAGAGACGCGGGCTGGTGGAAGGAAAATAGGTTTATTCAAGAACCAGCAGCCTGAGGAGATGGGGGACTCGGTGCAGGCAGGGTTTTTATAAGGAGAGAGGGAAAGCAGAACAGAGAGATGGGGGGCGGGGCTCTTGAAAAGTTCGGTGCGTGCAGACCTGCATGGACCATTCTGATAGGATGTCCACACTGGTCAAGGGATGGCCTGATGTGCGTCATCATGGCTCTAAGGTGGAAGGTCAGCAGATCTCCCCGAGCTGGATGCCTGAAGGTCAGAGTCGGCTTCTTTTGAAGCTGGTTCCTAGAATCCTTATACAAACATGCTGTTTATCTGTAAGATCCGTGTTAGTCAGAGTCAGCACTTTCGAAACAATGTAAAAAGAATGGGGGGGTGGGTTACACAGAGACACGTGGCCAAGTGCTGTGCATGTCCCCTCCCACGCTCTCCCATATCACCTCCCATTCCAAATTTTAAAGTTTCCTTCCGGGAAGGAATATTTTCTTCCCGGGCTTTCATAAGGGGGTCAGGTGGACAGGGAGACGTGGCCTGACGGATTGGTGCTTCCTCTGCAGAGTTTCCGGGACTGGAAGGATGGGGTGCACGGGTGGTGCTCGGGGCGGAAGGACGGGTGAACGGGTGGTGCTCAGGGGGGAAGGACGGGGTGCACGGGTGGTGCTCGGAGCGGAAGGACGGGGTGGACGGGTGGTGCTCGGGGCGGAAGGACGGGGTGAACGGGTGGTGCTCAGGGGGGAAGGACGGGGTGCACGGGTGGTGCTCGGGGCGTAAGTGCGCCGTGCACCTGTGGTGCTCAGGGGGTAAGTACGGGGTGCACTCGTGGTGCTCGAGGCCTGAGGACGCGTCCACTGGTGGTGCTGTTTTCTTTGTGTGCCTTTTCCGCCCCTGGAGGTGCAGAGAGCTCTACGGAAACATCATCACCATTCTGAGGTGTCTGTGTGCTCGCCCTCCAACAGTCCTACAGGACTTGGGGCTGGGCCACTACAAGCTTCTGGGGCCCCTGCAAAGCATGTACATCACCTCCCAACACTGGTAACTCCGGAGCCCCCAACTGGAAGCGAAAAAGGGAGAAAGCATTAGATTTGGACGCTGAAAGGGACCCAGCTTTCCTCTTTTCTGTAATAGCTCCTGGTTGGCTGCTGGCTCCAGACATAAAACTTCTTTCTCTGATTCAATTTAAAACACAAAAAAAAACAACCCACAGAGGCCAGGAAAGGACACCGAGAGGTGGTGGGAGGAGGTCAGGCCTTTACTTGGGTGCCATGCTTATAGCCGGCTCCCGAGACCAAGGCATTGTGGACATTTGGGCTGGAAAATTCTTCGTGTGGGGCTGTCCTGGGCTCTGCGGGAAGCTGAGCAGCACCCCTGGCCTCTACCCAGTGGATGCCAGTAGCACCCACCCCACACCAGTGTGACAGCCGACTTGTCCAGATAGGGCCAAAGGTCAGCGGGGACAAAATCGGTAAGATCCTTCCGCCCCGAGTACCACCCGTCCACCCCAAGAGCTGAGAACTCTTGGTTTGACTTTGTGTCCTTCGTGGGTGAAGAGTGGGAAACCCGAAACCCTGCACCCACAGACGATGAGGTCAGAGGCCACGATTCCGATCGCTCCTTCCACTGACCGCAGCATCACGTCAGGGACGTGGGCCCAGGAAAGAGACGTGCACTTGGGCTTTAGACTTGTACCACAGACCGAGGACCAGGTTTTCCCACCTTTTATGTGGAAAATAAGACGTACCATAACCTGGGTAACCTGTTTAACTCTGAGTGTAGATTTCAGGAAAACCTATAAACCTCCCTTTCACTGTTTTGAAATGA